CTTTTTTTTTTTTTTTTTTTTTCAAATGGGCCAGCTCCATTGAAGCCAAGCAAATCAGAACTGTGATACTGTAGTTGTGGCTCTTGCTCGAGTCTGTGCTGCTCAAGCAGAGAGAGTCTAAGCCAGTGGGCTCCCTTCCACATTGTGCCTCCCTTGAATGTTTTACTGTGGAGCCAATGCAGCATGAAGATTTACCTGTAACCTGCTCTACTTCTAAACTGAAAGCGCTATTTTTTGAAAGGGCATTTAATTTAACATGGGTCCCATGTGCATCTAATGCCCTTAGGAGATTCAGACACTGACTGTCTTTTTTTTTTTTTGTTAGGAGGGTTAGTAGTTGCAAGACTCTGCTATAAACTGTCTGTCAAAGGAATCCTGTGAATTTCAGTGAGGCTGTGTGCCAGCTCCCTGCAATGACTGCTGCTTTTCCTTTATGTCCCTAGCTCCCATGGAAGTCCTTAACAAGCATAATAGAATATTACTATATGTGGAAAACAAAAGACAGATACGTTCAGCAAGTCAGAATCGCCTCTTTCATTCTAACAGAAGATGGTTTTCTTGCCTTTGAAACAGAGCATTGTTGCTTTATTCTCCCTCTTGGGGTTCAGCCTTTCCAATAGGTGGGTTCCGTAATGATCTGAAGCACTGAACAATCTCGTCGCTAAACTCATCAGCCGTTCCATTGATGCAAACATGTAGCATTGGCATTTGTGCTTTCTTTTCATGTTTGCTGCTACTTTCTTTGTTTGGAGCTTTCAAATGTCTGTTTTGGAATTCAGCAGTTTGAGGAAGGGGATACAGTTAATTTCTGCCTGTAGAGTTCAAGGTCAGCATTAACTTCAGTTTTGGCTTTTTACGGGGGCGTAGGCAGTTGCTGTACAACAGGCACCCAGGCTAATTCTCCACCTCTGCCTGGCCGTGACTTTGATTGCAGATGCACAGAGGCTCCCTCGTGTACGCACTGTGAGTAAAGTGTTTGTCTGGGAAGCGTTGATGGCTCAAATTCCCAGACTCGTTATACTTGAGAATCAACTTTGACTAGTGTTTACAATCATTTTTATCTCTACTTTTTCAAATATGAAGGCTGCTTGGTCCCTTCAATAAAGCACAATGCAAGCAGCATGCGAAATGTTGCAGAGTATCAGTTGCTGAAAACTATTTATAATATTTAATGGGAAAATTAATTAAAAGAAGGGAGAAATATGTAATGGATTTTTCATGATAATTATCAGTATTATGTTTAGGCATCTATTTGAAGTATTAGAAGAAGTAGAGTTGTAAAAATGTCCTGCCTTAACTTGCTTCATTGGAAATTCAGCCTGGGATAAAGAATAGATGCCTGAGGCATTGACCAATATTTGGCATGTGCTGTATTTGGACACCTTGGTCTGTAATGTGATTTTTACCATTTTCTTTCTGATCCAGAACACTGTTTAAATTACAGAGGGATCCTCAGGACAAATGAGAACTCTTTTTTGCATCAATTCTGTATTACTTTTTAAAAAAATATTAACTGCATCTGCATTCCAGTAGTTCTCCAAGTTCATTCTTTGATTGAAACTTTTCCTTCTGGTAAGCAAATGGGTTGTAGGAAAGTGGGATGGTGATGGAAGCTGGTGTGGTGGGTAAAAAAAGGTGCTGGAGAGATGAGGTCATAGTCTTTCCTTCCCCATTGAATTGTGTGTATCGTTGATGTAGTGAGTGCTGCTATACTGTCTGACGACAGTTGTTTAGGAGACGATAGCTGAGTGTACTCAGCCTGTACTACACTCAATATTTGCACTGAGAGGAATCCATTTATCTTCTTCCCCGCATCTTTTATCTTACCTCACTTCTTTTAGTGATAAAAATCCATCTAGCAATATGGTAGGTGTCAGAAGAAGTGAGGAAAGTTATTTTATCAGTCAGTGAAAACCAGAATCTTAGGCTGTTTCATGAAAATGTCACCCCTGTGCAGTCAGAACAGCAACCGATAGCAGGAATTCTTGGGAAAGATTAAACTAAAAAGCATCTTTATGCTGCTCAGAAAGTCCGCAGTACATTTGCGGTGGCGGAGTTGTTTCTGCCCATCTTGAGGTATGTAACAATGGTGGTGGTGGGAATAAGGCGTAGGGAGCAGTTTCTTTGGTGTTCTCTCTTCGATACTGTAGGAGACAGATCGGAATAGTGTCCTAGGTGTTTGCTTCAAGGTCTATGTGCTGGGAAGGGAAAACAACTGGAGAAACTGTGCCTTGATTAGGAAGCAGTTAAATTCTTTTGCTTTTTCCTCTTTCTTTAACTTTATTACATAGAAAAAATCGCAGAGGGGGTAGTTGGGTGAAAGACTTTGATTGTTTGTTCTTGCAGCAATTGAAAAACAAAACAAAACAAAAAACACCAACAACAAACCTACAGTTTCTTGTACTGTTTTGCTATATTCCTATGCAGTGAGTTTTCTGTCATGGTTATACTGTACCAGGACATGTGCTGCCCAGCAGTGCACCAGGAAGTGGGATTTGGGGAAAACTTCCAATTAGAGGCTCTGCACTTAGGAGACAGAATGAGTATAAGCCCAAACGGGTAGAAATTGCAGTACAGAGATATCACATCAATTAAGTCTGAACTGAGCTGAAGACCTCATCTCAAATTCCCAGCTTGTACAAGCAAATAATACTATTAAACATTTATAAAAAGCCTGGGAGAGCTATCTATATATAACCACAAAGAAAGCATAGGAAGTTGTAGTTGAAATAATGGTGTATTACATTTATATTTTACTTGATGTCTACAAAGTCTTTGGCAAAGCACATCCCTCACCACTTTTTCTATCTGTTTCTTCATAGTGTTTTGTCTGTGTAGATTCTTTGCTTAGTCTAATACCACAAAATTGTCCTGGGGCTAACAGCATTTTTGTACATAAGATATTGAAAATGTGCTAAGTAAGTATATGAAAAGTGTGCATGCTGAGTTGTTTCACTTTCACTTGCCCTCCTTCTAAGAGGATGATTAAATTATACTCCAAGGCTGTATGTTATTGTCTTTAAAAAAATATTGATAACTTGGTCATTCTTGTAGAATCTTTGGCTGAATGAACATAAAAATGTCCATTTAAATTGTCTATTTCTGTGAGCTACACAACATAGTAATGAAGTTTTTTGTCATCAGCCAATTGCCTGCTTTGATGAAAAACAGTTAGTTGGGAACTGCTTACATCCTTCTGTATTTCCTTTGAGATTTTCTTGGAGCGAGAAAGTGCTGTCATAATCCTGAAGCAGAATCCATCTGTTTCTTGCCATTGAGGAAGATAAACTTTGAGTTGACTTCAATGGAAGACCCTTTCTCAGAACTGAACAATAAGGTATACTTATGCTTGGTATACCTAAGATTGAAGGGCTTAATACAGCATTTCCTTGTCTTGTGAGTAGGATACTGTGATTGAGGTACACACAAATTGACTTGTTTTGGAGCATGCACTTGGATCTCTTATCCAGTAATTTTTATTTGGCTTCAGCTATACCACGCTTTTGAAGGTTACCATCATAATTAGGAGTCCAGTCATTTCAAGAGAAGAACTGACCCTCTAAGAACAGAAGTGCTAGAAGGAGTAATTGTACTGCAATGTCAACACAGAATTTGTGGTCTGATGTAGGCTCCTGAATGTCTGTCCAAAGTGATCCCAAGAGTTGTCCTGTGAAAGACACCCTTTCAGAGTTGTCCTGAAGAAAATGAGGGAGATTCATTCCAAATTCAGCATCTCATGTCTCCTTTGAATGCATTCTTTTCTTGAGACAGATTTCCTATGTCAATTCACAACAGCATGTATTTCTGCTTCAGAAAGGTTTGAAATAATCCAAGGGGAAATGGTTAGTGACCTGCTACACCACGTAGACATACACAAGTCTATGGGGCCCGATGGGATCCACCCAAGAGTACTGAGGGAGCTGGCAGAAGTGCTCACCAAGCTGCTTTCCATCATCTATCAGCAGTCTTGGCTAACCGGGGAGGTCCCAGTTGACTGGAGGTTAGCAAATGTGACACACATCTACAAGAAGGGCTGGAAGGAGGATCCAGGGAACTACGGGCCTCTCAGCCTGACCTTGGTGCCGGGGAAGGTCATGGAGCAGATCATCTTGAGTGCCATCACACAGCACGTACAGGACAACCAGGGGATCGGGCCCAGCCAGCATGGGTTTATGAAAGGGAGGTCCTGCTTGACCAACCTGATCTCCTTCTATGACAAGGTAACCCGCTTAGTGGATGAGGGGAAGGCTGTGGATGTTGTCTACCTGGACTTTAGTAAGGCCTTTGACACTGTCTCCCACAGCATTCTCCTGGAGAAGCTGACTGCTCATGGCTTGGACAGGCATACTCTTCACTGAGTAAAAAAACTGGCTGGATGGCTGGGCCCAAAGAGTGGTGGTGAATGGAGTTAAATCCAGCTGGCGACTGGTCACGAGTGGTGTTCCCCAGGGCTCAGTGTTGGGGCCGGTCCTGTTTAATATCTTTATCAATGATCTGGACAAGGGGATTGAGTGCACCCTCAGTAAGTTTGCAGATGACACCAAGTTGAGTGGGAGTGTTGATCTGCTGGAGGGTGGGAAGGCTCTACAGAGGGATCTGGACAGGCTGGATCCATGGGCCGGGGCCAACTGCATGAGATTCAACAGGGCTCAGTGCTGGGTCCTGCACTTGGGTCACAACAACCTCATAAAAGGACCTGGGGGTGTTGGTTGACAGCCGCCTGAACATGAGCCAGCAGTGTGCCCAGGTGGCCAAGAGGGCCAATGGCATCCTGGCTTGCATCAAGAATAGTGTGGCCAGCAGGACCAGGGAGGTGATAGTGCCCCTGTCCTTGACACTGGTGAGGCCTCACCTCGAGTACTGTGTTCAGTTTTGGGCCCCTCACTACAAGAAGGACATCGAGGTGCTGAAGCGTGTCCAGAGAAGGGCAACAAAGCTGGTGGAGGGTCTAGAGCACAAGTCTTAGGAGGAGCAGCTGAGGGAGCTGGGGTTGTTTAGTCTGGAGAAGAGGAGGCTGAGGGGAGACCTTATTGCTCTCTCCTACCTGAAAGGAGGTTGTAGGGAGGTGGGGGTCAGTCTCTTCTCCCAAGTAACAAGTGATAGGATGAGAGGAAATGGCCTCAAGTTGTGCCAGGAGAGGTTTAGATTGGATATTAGGAGAAACTTCTTCACCGAAAGGGTAGTCAGGCACTGGAACAGGCTGCCCAGGGAGGTGGTTGAGTTCCCATCCCCGGAGGTATTTAAGAAATGCGTAGGTGTGGTGCTCGAGGACATGGTTTAGTGGTGGACGTGGCAGTGCTGGGTTAATAGTTGGACTTGATGATCTTAAAGGTCTTTTCCAACCTTAATGGTTCTATGATTCTATGAAATAGCATCCACTGAGTACTGTTTGGTGGCTTCCCCCAGCGATTTGAAAACTCTCAAAGAGTTCATGTGATGTTTGGATATGCCTGAATTTTCATTCAAAGTAAAGGTCTACTGTTTTGCATATCATGGGGGGAAGTCCTGAAAACTTTAAAACATAACATTTTCCAACTGTTGAGATGCGGCTGAGAAGAGCTCAGGACATGGCAGTGATGACTGAATGAATCATATGCTTTCTGAGAGTTGAAGGCTTTAATTTACTTTTTGAATTTTTATTTGTGCTCGAGGAGCATGTAACTTCAAGAGGAAGATCAAATATTATGAATTTCTACTGTTCTATTTGTTATGTGGAAGAACCATTAGAAAAGTGTAGGAGGAATAGACAGAAAATCAGTTTTAAGGTATGCATAGTGTTGAGAAGATATTGGAGAAAGTGGAAGTCCCATTATATTTGACTACATGAGGGAGGGAGCTTAAAGGGAGGGAGCTCTGGGAAAATCTTGGCGTGGATAGAAAACATCTTTATTAAGGGAAGCAAGCGTTCTTTGTACCTAGCCAAGAGCTGTGACTGACATCTTAATGTACTAGCCTTCATAAAGTACTGCGTGCTAGCAAAGTAGAAATAACATCAAAGAAAAGTTTTTCTGCATACGTAGGACATTTTATCCCAAAACACCTCCTGTTAAGCCTGCAGTAACATGGAACTATGGCAGTTTTTGCAAGCAAGTGACATAGACCATAGGTACCACACATCAGTGCTGACGTGTTGCTGGAGCACCAGCAGCTGGAAACGCTTCTCCCAAATGCACCGTGGACTAATTACCTTTTCTGTCCCCTATCCCCTCCCTCCCAGCAGCACTCGTGTGTTCAGAATTTTGAAAAAGAATACACAGTGTGAAAGTTCTCTCAATACAGAAAATGCAATTTAGAGACTATCTTCCCTATCATCAACTAATAAATGCTTAATATTTGAGGATGTTTGAGGCGTCCCCGTGCTGTCTACCAACCTGACTCTTGTGTTGCGGACCTTGAAATATCCCTTGCATTCCTGGATTTCTCCTGTTATTTCATCTTTATAAATGTTCACTCTTTTAAAATGACCACAAACATTTGCTCTGATACGTCACATATTATAAAACTCTTTCAAGCTCAGTGGATAGAGCGAAAGATGTTAAATCTAGGGAGAGGATATATAAAGGACAGATGTTGGCACTAACTCGAATGTACAGTGCTTAGTAATTTAATCCCCTGGTCCCTCTGGGATAGACAAGTTGGTAATATCTCCCTTTTATAGATGTGGAAAATATGATGAGGTAAATAAGAGGATATACTTAAGATTTGCATATATAAATAACTCAAAGACAAAAGATTGCATTTTGGCCAAACTATTGGAAAAAGTTACAAATGTTCAGGGTTTTTTTGTGGATGAGGACATTCATAACTACATCAGACAACATTAAGAATTTATAGCGTAAATACGCTTCAGGCACAAATCAATTAATAACTGGCAAAGGACCTAGCAAAGCACTTTCTCTGTGAAGAGATTGTTCTGAAATTGTGCATGACTACATTTCAGGCACCTTTCTTTTGTACCTTCTGGTATCAGTCGCTGTCAGAAAATAGGAAACTCATCATATCTGGTCTATCGATTGTCCACAGCCACAAGTACTTAGCGCAAAACCAACCTCGTCATATTCAGTACATTGTGGTACCTCAGTTTTCCTGATACACTAGTTTGTAATAAAGGTGTATGCTGTATGTCGTGCTCTGCGCTGATCCCAGGCAGCTCGCTGTAGGAGAGGAGGGTATTGCTAGGTCCAGGTGACTTATGGCAGTTGTTAGCTCAGAGTTCGCACTGTGGTCATCAGTCACAAAGAAAATCTGTAGCGTGAGGTTAACATTCATTACCAGTTTAGTAAACTACCCGAAATGAACCATGTCTCCAAGGCAAATGACTTTACATTGTGGATCGTAGAATATTTCAGCTGCTGGTAATGCATTGTGCTTGCATGAAGCTTTTCCCATTCATAGATTTCCAAAACTGTCATAACATAATGACTCTATATAGTCCCCTTGGGAGCTTTTGTCAAGAAAACTGCAGCTTCCCCCGCCCCCCTCCCCAGTCTAGAAATCTAGTGGAAATTTAAAAAAAAAAAATTCTCTTATCAGTGGAAGTTCCCTGAATTTCCTGCTTGGGCCTCAAGGAAATGTGATTCTTGTACAAAGTTCATCAAGCAGTATTTTGAGCTGTTTATCAGTATCTGATGTTGGACTTCCTTGTAATTCCTGGGGAGAGCATGAGCTCTGTGACTGTTCGTCTGCTGACATAACTGCCTGTGGTAGTCTGTGCCTGGGGAGAGGAGAGCTGTTTTTCTGTCCAGGCTGTGGGTGGAACAGCCTTCAGTTCATGAGCAGAAATGCACCTGAGAGCATGCATTTTGTTGAAGGATGATTTTTTTGGGGTAGTGCCTCTCTGGAAGATTGAGGAGGGTTTCAGATGCTGTTGGAGAACCATTGTCACAGCACTTTTGGAGGCCCATCATTGGATACTTTGGTTTCTTATGTAAAAAGACTTGAGCAGGGTGTTTTGAAAATGTTCAACTTTGAATTTGTTGTTTTTATTCAGAGGGAGAACCTCTTTAGTTCCATCACTGATTGCCAGTACAGTGTTGTATTATTGATTCCCCCAAGTCTGTGGGATTGATAAGGATCATCTCCACGAAGTCTTCATTTGGGTTTTCTTGAAGACAGTTTTTGGGTAGCTGTCCTTGTCCTAGCTGAGAGTTAACAGAAGCAGTCTGGGAAACTTGCCTACACCAGCAGAAAGAAGTCGGCTTTTGGATGCAGCTCTCTGAAGGTGTACCCCTAGTCTCTGGATAACTTTCAGAAGTTCTGTTTTTTCAGTCCTTGTTCTCTTGTCTAACCACTTCATTCTTTGATTTCTAAGATAGGTTGACTTTTATTTGCAGGAAAAGGTAAGAGGGGAATTCTTTAGGAGTCTAGAGAGCTTTGGCAAGGAACTGTCAGGCTGTCAAATGGAAAACTGTTGCTTAAGACTGATCAAAGCAAGCGTTATGCTTATGGGAAACTTCTACTTCATTGTTTCTGTGTGTGTCCATTGTGTCCCTGTAAAAAGGATTTTTATGTTTGTCCAGTTCCTCAGTGACACGCTCTTCAATTTCATTACGTTTTTCTGGTGCTTCTTGTGTCTATGAAGATACTGACTTTAGCGATTTACAGTTATTTTCCTAGACAGTGCCTTGAGGCTGCTGCATAGAAAATGTTAAGCTAATCTGTTTGTCTAGAGTATCGCCATGCTGCTGGTTTGTCTGGAAAATATTGGTGTGGCTTTATGCAGACTGCTGTTACTGGCATGGATGTTGGCATGGGCCCGGCTTTGAGCAGGAGGTTGGGCTAGAGGCCTCCAGAGGTTCACCCTGAATTAATTTAGCTTATGTAATAAAGAGAAAACTTGAACCTCAGAACGTCTCTGTTACTTTTTAAATGATGCGAAGGTTTGAGTTACAAAAGGAGTTCTTGGCCAGTTGGTAAAGCTCATACTAATTGCCTACCCCTGCCATGTTCTTGTGGGCTATCAGCAAGTTCACAGTGGTAGCTGGAAAAAAAAAGAGCAGTCCTATTCTGGGGACATTTAGTCCATACATCCCATTGAAAGGATCCTGTAATCCATTTACTCCAGAAACGTGGATGGAAGTTAATGGATGGTTTTACCGAAGTAGGGCCACATAAAGAGACAAATGGTGTGTACTTCTAAACGTGCGTCCCCATGCTCTGAAAGCCTGCTTCTTGTATGTGTTTTTCCTTGAACACATCTCTCAAGTTCCTTAATATCTCCCGGCAATGGTGTTTTTCATTAGGGACTGGTTGTTGGGTCTAATTAGCTTCTCCCCTTTTTACCCCCTTAATGTTCTTTGCTACCTGTCTCCTGAGATTTGCACATGTGCCTGGGGTTTATTTCCTTTTTGTCTCAAAGGGGGATAAATGCATAGTGTTTGTGTACCTAGAGCTGCTCACCTTTAGAAAGTGCAAATGTGCAGATTGCCCATGGCTGATGTTTAGTCAGAAGTGATACCATAATTTAAAGAAAAAAAAAATCTACTGGGAAATTCTGCATCGGTTTTGAGTTGAGTTCTTGGCCTTTTTAACTTTTAAAGATCTCCTGTGTTACTCAGTCTTCAAAAATGAGGACTATCAACAAAAAAGTCTTTGTTCAAACTCTGAATTGGTTCAGTTGTTGAGGAAATACGGTGGAGAGGGTGCATTGCTGTACCTGTTATTGTCAAATCGGTGAATATTATCATGGAGAACTGACATGGGCTGTGTAAGATCTTCCTCTGCACGAATAAAAAGGGTTGTGGGAGGAACAACGCTTGCATTTTTATTGAAGTGAATGGGAATGAAAGTTTGTCCTTTTAAATAGTAGATTGTCATCTCTGACTTTTTTTAAAAGCTGTGTCGTTTGATGCCCACAATTGTTTTCAGTGGATATTTTCTTGTTGGAAAAGGATTTTGTGGTAGCTGCTCAGTGAAAGGAGAACTTCATTGTTTGTTAATAAGTGCTAAAGTTTTTACAGGTATATTACTTGACTCCCAAGTAGAATAGTCATTAATTTCTTTTTATTCTAATTTTTTCTTTTTTCTTTTCTTTTTAAAGAAACGATTGAAAGCAGCAGAAGCAGAAAGCAAGCTAAAACAAGTGTATATACCCAACTAGTAAGTATCTCTGTATTGTTTTGTTTTCTGTTTCATTGTAGAGGGTCTGGTTTAGCAGTTTCCATGGCCTGCCAGTATTATGTATTTGCTTTAATTACATAATGAGACACACAGTTGAACAAACATGTCAAAGAACTATTAAATTAGGTTACCGATATAACAAACCTTCTGCTGATGCTTGAATAAGCTTGAATTCCTTTGTGTTTTAGCTGAGTTAATGCTAACCACCCTGATGCTAATAAACAGCTAGGAGCCCTGTGGAAGAAAACACCATAGCTCTGGTATTTCAAAGCTGGCTAGAACAAAGCAGCAGTCCTCCCAGTATGCTTACACTGCTGGTTATGAGTGTGTAAAAGACAAAGCTTTTCCCACTCGCTGACCTTCCGCTTCAGGAACACAGGGTATCTCCTCCATGGGCAGCTGAGGACTTTCTCTTTGAGGCTTTCCTGGTTAGGATGCTGTGCTGTCACGTTGCTCATTTTCTTCATCCTGTATAATGTTCCCATCCCAAAGCGACTGTTACTTATCTTCTAATTTTCATTTTTATATGGACTGAGAGTTGGGGACTTGGTAGCAGGTCAACACGGTCGTGAACAAAAGGGTAGCTAATTAATTACGCAATAAAATATGTGGTTTTATTAATTTTTGTCATCAGTGGACCACCAATGTGTGGTTGTTTCCTAATGTCATTTAGATATATATATAAATTTATATAGAGAACTATATCATTAGATATTAATTTTAATATATAATATGCGTGTGTGTATATATATATGTAAGAAAACCTCTTAGTAAAATGTGTTTCTTCTCTTGCATTTCTTCTGCATAACTCAGTCAACAGTTGTTACAGTGTGGAACTTTAAATCTCCCCTGTCATTTCTCTTTTCAACTTTCACTCCGAGATACGTTCCCATGTGTATTAACCCAAATCCTTTACTCTTGTATGCTATCTCCTTTCAAATATTTATGAACTTCTACCATGTGCTCTGTTACTGAAGGCAAAACTAAGTTTTACATATTTAGCTTGCAAGACAGTCCCTGATTTCTTGTGAAAACAGAGAAATCGCCGATTTCTTCTTTTGCTTTGAAATATGTTAACATCTCTCAGGTGAATTTACTAAAAATTAGGTGTAGTATTGCTTTTGTGGATGGTGTTACTCTGCAGGGGGACACTGGACATCAAATTAAACATGAATTCACAATGTGATAAGCTTGTAAAGCAAAAGCCGATGTAATTTAGACTGCAGATGTGAAAGGATATTGCAGATGAGAGCCTGGTAGTCTTGCTGTTGCTCTTGGATTATAATGTATGTAGGTAGGGCTTTGTATTTGAAAGGTTATGGTGCTCATTTGGATAATGGCTGTCTGGAGTGGTATCCTATTCCTCAACGCTGTATCTCAGCAAGGTAATTCTTGTTGCTATCTAGAGAATATAATCGAATCAGCAACTTACCTCTTTACTACAGGAAAAGAATTCTGTTCACAGTCCGTGTGGTTGCTATTTTTGTCTCTGGCTTTGATTTCCAGTCACGGTTGATTTTGTGAGTGTTATACCTTAACTTACATATTGTTTAATTGATAAAATGGGTGTCAAATTTTCCACCTCCTTCAATATCCTTTCATGTGTATCAGGAAAAGTAGCAATTGCGTACATGGCTTATTTAATCCCACGTGAATGCTTCTGCTGCTTTTTTGCTATTAATACCTCCAAATGCTGCAACAATTAAGTCATTCTAAGGTTTTTGGATTATTTCTAGTCAAGTTTCAGTACAAGGTCTGGCACATAGGGAATGTATCGCGGCTACATTATCTTGTGACCTAGAAGAAGATTATATTCTTGGCTTATAATAGCAATACATGGTGTAGGGATCTAAATATCAATGTTATTGATTTGTCCTTATCATGTTACTGAGCCCATTCCTGTTTCGAGGCTTGAACCATAATGATCCACTTGTCACCTCGAAAATAAATTACTTGATGTAGGCTGTCACAAGACCTATGCAGAAGCATATTAGCTGATTGAGTGAAACCTATTCTAACAATAACTGGCGTAAAATTGTTTGCGAAGAGAGACCCTGGAGGATATCACTCTTTTTTTTCCCTCCTTTTGTCTCTGGCTGTCTTCCATTGATAGGACTCTTGTTTGTTCCTGTGATGTTAATAGGAAAATCTAGGGAGAGGGGAGGAAAATAATAAGAAAAACAATAGAAGCAGTCTTCAGGAGTTCTTTCTCATGTCACATACATATTATACAGTGAAAAATAACAGCTCTACATGAAGCTTTAGAGTTGACATTTTTTAACTTGAGACTGTGCTCCAAATTTATAACGTGGGTAACTGAAGCATGGAGAGTGTTACAGGTAATTGATGTGAGGTTATCGAGTCCTAAACCAACATCCTAGATATTGGAAAAACATTTCTATCCTAGCTATTGGACAAACCTTTCTGTGCTCCTTCCAAGAACAACCCTGGTTTTGGGACAGACGTGTGTAGTTGATGTGACTGAACCCAATGTTTGTATGCATGGCTTTGTAATGCATCCCTTAGGTTGAAAAGCACTGATGTTCTTTCCTGGTGAAAGGAAAAAGTATACCATCAGTTGAATTCTGCATTCAGGAAATACTGAAAAAAGTCTTTTCATTGTTTTCCGTAGCAATTTCTCTGTCAGTGGGAGTGGTGTTCAATAAAGCAGCAGCAGAAGCCTGAATACACAGAGAGATTCCACGTTCTTATACGCTTCATCCTGTCATCCGCCAGCGTGAATACGCAGGGCTCGGAGATCTTTCTTGTTGCAGATGTAGTCTCAAGTCTCTTCTCCTTCTAGTGTGTACCCAAACACACTCTTCAGGCTGTTGTGGAAGTTACATTCTGGTTGTACTAATCCTACAGGCATCGTATGTACTAGGTACTTGCTTCTTTGTGATGACTGTCTAGTTGGGTAGCTGGTGCTTTTTGGGATTAGGACATCTGCTAATCATGAAAGCTGAGACATACAATTGTGTGTGGCTTTTCTCTCTTTTGCTTTAATCTAAGTGATATGAGAAGGGGTAAGAACAGAAAGGGAAGAGCAAAGCACTCCATACAATCCCCAGTCTCCAAAATGTGTTGATGTAAAATGTAAATTTTAAATTTACATCTGTAAATGTAAATTAATACATTCTACTTTAAGTATTTTATCTGAGAATCTCAAAGCACTTTGATGAGCTGCAAAGTCTGCCTTGCAAACAGTTGCAAAGTAGGGAAACATTATTCTCCCTACCCTGCCTCTTTTTTTAAGCAAACAGGGAAACTGGAGGAATAGGTCAAAGCTTTGGATGACTACAAGGGGCAACTGCTTAACAAGCTGAAGATAATTTCTTTGTCTGTTGGTTGTCCTGTGCCTGAGGAGGAAGACTTTTTTTTTCTTTCCCGTGTAATTGTGCAGAGGTCTACTGCACCATGAAAAACTGAAGAGAGTAAGCTGTTCTTTCTTTTGTAGCTGTGCTAGTTAAAATGGTGATCTTCAATATTTTGTTGGAGAAAGCTTCTCATTTTCAAAAAGCATTGTTTAGCAGTCATTAGAGCTGTTCTTAGAAGTGGGTATTTACAGTAGCCTGTGATGAGAGCTCATCTCTCTGTTGTTTGGATGCTTGCATTGTATGCCTAGAGGTAGATGGCATAAGTGTTCCTTACAAAGGATTAAAAATTGTTCTCATTTCTGAGGCTTAATTTCTTAATTGTTCTGTTGCATTTAGCACCGCTACAGTTTCCTGAATAACAGGAAGCATTCACTGATGGTGTTAAGTTTATAGTTACTTTTAACAACTAAAATTTTATCACTGTTTTGTTCTATGCCAGTCATATAGTGAAGGGATTTCAGCGTTCTGCATGGCTCAGGGTTATCTTCAGGTTGGGATTTTGGGCAGGGGCTTCAGTCCATGATGGCTGGCTTCCAGCGCCTTCTTTCTGCGTGCGCTTTATCACCTTAGTCTCTTTAGTTGAGACTGATCTCCTGCAAGATACAGCCCAGAAGTCTGCACGTTTATGTTCTAGCATAACTGACTGCTCCATTGCAATTGAAACCCGTTTAAAAGACTTCCATTCTTGATGTAAGAACTGGAAATGATCGTTTACCACACCATTGGTATTCTTGCTACCTTATTTGCATCTTTCAATTCAGCTTCATTAATTGCCTAATGATTCATCCAGTTATTCATCTAATTCTCTTGTTAATAGCTGTAACAGGCTTTGGTGATATCATACAAGTTTAATTAACATATCATCAACAATTAAGAGCTTTTTGCTTTTCATATGATGAAGACATTAGCCGCCTAAATTTTGTTACTGCCACTGTGAAACTTGACCTTAGCTTTGGAGCAGGATGCTTTCTGGTGCTTGTTGCACCTGCGTTAATGGTACTGTTCCAAAATACTGAAGTTAAGTTACTCTTATGACTACAGCGTGACAATTTTGTGATCAGTGTGATTTGGTGATCAGCTTTCACCCCTGCATCCCTTTCACTTGCATTTGAAAGACAAGTTTGATGGGATTGTAGAGAGGACAACAGAGTCAGGTCATCACCCTCCTTTCTGTCCTGTGGATTGTTCTCAACTTACTGCTTACAACCAGACCCATCAGAGCTTCCCGACGTGCTGCTCAAAAAAAACCCAAAACCTTTTTTTGTGCTTTACTGCTGGATTTAAGACTCCTTTACTGCGTTTTTCAGAGGATAAATAAATGGGAAGGGAAGCAACATGTCTGATGTTGAGCCGTAAGACCTGGAGTGGAACCTAAGTTTTCTTTGTCAGTCTTTTGCTCTGTCTATTGAGCAACGCTGCTCAGCGTGCATCTGTGAGGACTGTTTGTTATACAGCATCTTGGTAATGTTTGCACATGGAATTTGCTAGTGAATCATTGGCAAAAGTTCTTTTGCAGCAGGTTACTATAGTGACATCCCAGAGCAAAATGCATGAATGTACCCGCTTTCAACTTTCGCTTTGTTGAATGTGTCCGCAGATCTCCTGCCATCTGTGGTGTCCGAACTTCATGCCATTCTAATAAGCACCCTGAAACACTTTAATCCTTGTAAGAGCCAGGCAAATTAATAAGCAAAAGGAGAAGAAAACCTAATCAGGATTGTTAATCTAAATGCCTTCCCCCCCCTCTTCTCTGCTTCTTTTGGGCTGTGTATGGGCTGTTCAGTGTACTGAAGGAACAAACTATTTACAGTATTTCTGTGCTGCTTAGCCTCCTAAGCTTTTTCTTCTGCAGAAAGGCCCTGAACTTTACAGCGAGGAGCACCATCAGAATGCTATCTGAAGTTTTTCTTGGACTGGGCAAATACTTTTACCTCCTTATGCAATGTGTGTGTGGTCCTTGTAGGACATTCATAGCAGAACCTATTTTGTCTCCATAGAAATGGGGCTTTACCGAGCTCTGTATCTCGGGGCCTGATCAGACGTTTTCAAATGAGGAGAAGGATGACCTGGCTTCCAGGGCAGTGTAAGCTTTCCAGTAGCATTTGGGTTTGTTCTGGAGCTGCAAGGGCCAGTTGTCTTCAGAATTCAGTCACTTGGACCTCCTTTGCTTTCAGGGGTCATTGCTGAGAATGTGAAACCTAATATTGATGCCCCATTAGAAAGACATTAATTTGGCCATATTCCTACACTGCTGTTTTTGCAGCGCTAGCCGGGGTGAAAAGCAATAAGTATTTTGGGTCACTGAAATCACTGTGACTCCTGTGTCAGTGTGCAACTGACGTGTAAGAAAATGTGTTTTCAGAAAGCCATTTTAAGATACTTCTGCTTGAATAAGTGGATTCCAAATCATGGGTTTATTAGTTGGAAATAAAAGGAATATGCCCACTCCCTTTAGTCTTCAAGTAAGAGAACATGAGGGAAATGTAATCGGCACTACAATTTGGGCTTATGTTCAGAAGTTAGCACTAAAGGCTGCCTGCTTTTTATTGCTTCTGTAGGGTGAGTGCCTAACAGCACCTGGGAGTCCTTGCGTGCTTTATAAGCTCCTTGTGTGTTTTATAAGCTCCTTGTGTATTCTACTCTGAAACTTCTTGAGGGACTTCTCCCATCTTCCTCCGTTCCCCAGAAGTCCTGTCCCTGTAATATTGATTCTCTGTTGTCCTTGTTCCCTTCCATGCCAAGGATTTTTTGAATGCCTCCTTTTCCCCCTCTGACACCTCTTCCTCTGCAGAGATTTTGTACTATTCTGTACTGCTCTCTGTGCCAAAGTTTTGTTTGCCCTTCCATTCTCAGCTCCTGCCAGTAGCTTCCCCC